GAAGGAGATAAGTTTTTGAACCCCATTATCACTGATGATGTGATGAGATGTGGGTTCATTATTCCGAACCTGAGACAAAAGCTCAGTCAAAGCAGTGGAAATGAGCTGGTTCCCAACCTCTTAAAAAGTTTTAGCTGTCTCCTTCGGCTGGCAAAGTCATGCTTGTTGCCTTTTAGGATTCGTGAGGAATGATACTTACTCATTTCATGCCAAAAGGTCAAAATGTCACCGCCAAGTACTATTCTGCAGAAATTCTGAAAAATCTCAGAGAAAAGCTGAAGCAAATGCGTCCCAGGTTAGAACAGAAAAATGTCCTCCTTCTTCACGATAATGCCCCCTCCCATATCGCAGCAGCTACAGTGCAGGTTATCAACTCTTACAAATGGCAATTGTTTTCTCACCCTCCTTATAGCCCAGACCTCGCTGTGACTTTTGTTTGTTTCCAGAACTGAAAAAATTGCTTGCTGGAAAGAAATATAAGACCAAGGCGGCTTTGATATCTGCTGTTACACAGTACCTAAAACATAAGTCTACGTCATGGTTCACAGCGGGAATACAAAAGCTCCCACGAAGATGGCAAAAGTGCGTAGACATAGCTGGAGAATATTTTGAAAAAGAGTAGAAAGATTTTTTTTTAAATGTTGAATGGTTTTCGAGAAAGAGTCAAAAGTCCGGATATTTTCTGACTTCCCCTCGTATGTGCATGCCTTACATTACTTCTATGTTATTCTGGACTAATTTTGCCATGAGATAAATTACAGAATGCTTCTATTTGTTTATAAATGTTTATTTTGGGTACCAATCTTAAGTTCAGGATCATGAACTATTATAGTCATCATACACTGTAGTTATCAAAGAAAATAATTATAATCATAATCATTGTCACTGATACATACTTTGCATTTTAAATTCAATGTATTTTTTTAATTAACAATTTTTCTAGAATGATCGTTTATTAGTCTCTCAATTTGTATTTTGTCAAAAACTCAAAATGTTCTATTAAAATGTGTATAAAACAAACATCCTTCTGCTAACCCAAATCTGATCTTGCATTGCTACTGTTTACATAATGTTACTTGTATTAATTTATACCAATCTGCCCCTTATTAACGTTACACTAAGGATCTGACACCCGCCCCGGCACTAACAGGAGGTCACCTTGACGGGCACTAACAGGAGGTCACTTTCTAGCAACCCTTTAAACTGCCAATCATAATGGTAAGCTTTCACAATTTTGACAGTGAAGCAGTTTCTTATTTTAATCACTTGAAAACCAATATAGAGTAGGTAATTTTGATTATTTCTAGAACAGACAAGGCGTTGTCTATATAGCCGGCAGGTAAACAGGCAAAACAATTTTGTATAGTTATTTCCATTTATTTGTTTCAAATTACTTCATTTTTTTTTTTTTGAACAAAAATGAACAAGTTGTTTTTTCGCACAAAAATGAACAATTTGTTTTACTTCCATTTAAAGCAAATTAATAGACTGTATAAACAGAGATACTTTGTCTCATGCCTATCAGTTCTGTAAATGACGTTTTGATTGCATAAGCTTTTTCGGGAAATACGAATCAAAATGAAGGTTAAACAAATACGGTGGCAATGAGATCTACATGCAAAAGTTCATCTGATCTTTAACTATAGGTATATGCAGTTACAGTGAATTTGTCTGGAAGTCAAAATACTACTTTGTTTACATTTTTCTACTTTTATAAGCTTGACTATGCAATATGGTTGGAATAATATATCAAATTATTTGAGAGGACCACCTTATACATTTTAAAATACTGCTTAAACTGACTTTAGAATAACTTAAAATGTCACATTATGAAGGGTTATTCTCTTCCAAAAGTAATGAACATTGACTTTATAACATGAAATAACAATTATATCATTCATGTTTTTAATAGTTTGTCAATAGGCAAACATTTTTTCACTTAGACTTTTTTCGCATTCAGTTACTAGAGTATACACAGTTTCAGCACTGAATACGAAAAAAGTCTAAGTGAAAAAAATACATGAAAATACGCAAAAATGATATCATCTTATTATCAGTACTACTTTTATCAACAGTAATCATTATAAAACATACTTTAAAACTGAAAATGAAATACTGCTTATAATTTTTGTCACTTAGACCATCACATTTTTTTATAAATTAATTGCGAAAAAAGTCTAAGTGACTATGTTCACTTAGACCTTTTTTGCATTGACTGATTTTCATATTTCACTTAGTCCTTTTTCATATTTTTTAAATATATATAAAAATTAATGTGTTGTGTTCAAGATTTTTTCACAGAAGATGTATATACAGATTTCAAACACATTTATATAAAAAAGTGATTTTCTGAAAAAATGTCACTTAGACCTCTTTCGCTTTCACCCCTCGATATTAAGAAAAAGCGACATATTTCAAACTTGTGTTGCAAGAGTTGCTCCCCTTTTCTACCGAGAAGAAAACTATATAAACAAGATATGTTTGTAAAACATGTATGCCCCCCTATCAGCAGCCAATTAGTCACGTGATAAGGTTATTATGCATGCAAGTTCCTAGGCCTAAGGGTTCTTTAGTTATTGATCGGAAACCATTTTTACCTAAGAGGTAAATGTGACCTTGACCTTTGACCCCTTGACCCCAAAATCAATAGGGGTCATCTACTGATCATGACCAATCACCATATCAAGTTTGAAGTCCCTAGGCCTAAGGGTTCTTTCGTTATTGATCGGAAAACGTTTTTACCTACAAAGTCAATGTGACCTTGACCTTTGACCCCTTAACCCCAAAATCAATAGGGGTCATCTGCTGTTCATGACCAATCACCATACCAAGTTTGAAGTTCCTAGGCCTAATGGTTCTTTCGTTATTGATCGGAAATCGTTTTTACCTACAAGGTCAATGTGACCTTGACCTTTGACCCCTTAACCCCAAAATCAATAGGGGTCATTTGCTGGTCATGACCAATCACCATACCAAGTTTGAAGTTCCTAGGCCTAAGGGTTCTTTTGTTATTGATCAGAAACCGTTTTTACCCAAGAGGTCAATGTGACCTTGACCTTTGACCCCTTGACCCCAAAATCAATAGGGGTACCTACTGATCATGACCAATCACCATACAAAGTTTGAAGTTCCTAGGCCTTAAAGTTCTTTAGTTATTGATCAGAAACTGTTATTGCTTACAAGGTCAATGTGACCTTGACCTTTGACCCCTTGACCCCAAAATCAATAGGGGTCATCTACTGATGATGACCAATCACCATACCAAGTTTGAAGTTCCTAGGCCTTAAAGTTCTTTAGTTATTGAATTGAAACCGTTTTTGCTTACAAGGTCAATGTGACCTTGACCTTTGACCCCTTGACCCCAACATCAATAGGGATCATCTACTGATCATGACCAATCACCATACCAAGTTTGAAGTTCCTAGGCCTTAAGGTTCTTTAGTTATTGATCGGAAACCGTTTTTGCTTACAAGGTCAATGTGACCTTGACCTTTGACCCTTTGACCCCAAAATCAATAGGGGTCATCTACTGGTCATGACCAATCACCATACCAAGTTTGAAGTTCCTAGGCCTTAAGGTTCTTTAGTTATTGATTGGAAACCGTTTTTGCTTACAAGGTCAATGTGACCTTGACCTTTGACCCCTTGACCCCAAAATCAATAGGGGTCATCTACTGATGATGACCAATCACCATACCAAGTTTGAAGTTCCTAGGCCTTAAAGTTCTTTAGTTATTGAATTGAAACCGTTTTTGCTTACAAGGTCAATGTGACCTTGACCTTTGACCCCTTGACCCCAACATCAATAGGGATCATCTACTGATCATGACCAATCACCATACCAAGTTTGAAGTTCCTAGGCCTTAAGGTTCTTTAGTTATTGATCGGAAACCGTTTTTGCTTACAAGGTCAATGTGACCTTGACCTTTGACCCTTTGACCCCAAAATCAATAGGGGTCATCTACTGGTCATGACCAATCACCATACCAAGTTTGAAGTTCCTAGGCCTTAAGGTTCTTTAGTTATTGATCGGAAACCGTTTTTTGCTTACAAGGTCAATGTGACCTTGACCTTTGACCCCTTGACCCCAAAATCAATAGGGGTCATCTACTGGTCATGACCAATCACCATACCAAGTTTGAAGTTCCTAGGCCTAAGGGTTCTTTAGTTATCACTCGGAAACCATTTGGTCTACGGACCGACGGACCGACAAGTGCAAAGCAATATACCCCCTTTTCTTCGAAATGGGGGCATAAAAAAATAAATAAATAAAATTCCCCCTCCTATTGCATTTCCTCCTCCAAAAGGCACCAACCCCTTCCCTCAAGTGAAAAAAAACACTGGTAGCAAAAATCAATAATCAGAATTAAAAGATAGTACAAAATTCTTGTTTTATGCCAAAAACAAAGAATGACCTAGATTAACAACATTTTGTTACACAGGAAAACAGTTATAAAAGAATTGTTTTTAAATGCTCAATAAGTGTTCAACTCTGTCACAAATCTCAGTCTCATAAAAGTGAAGACTTACATTAAAATGTCAGAATTCATTAAGACTAGATCTGCAAAACACTTTTTCCTTTTTATTATTTGAACTTGTGCCAAGTTATCTTAATATATCTCTATGTACAGACAAGTGCTTTCCGCTGACCTCTTAAGTGTGATCTTGACCTTTGGCCTAGTTCATACAAATTTGGGGGAACTTTTGGGGTTGATTTTTTTCCCAAAGATCATTCCATGTTGTAGAACAGCAAAAAAAGATTGGAATTTTTTTCTGGATAAATGTCTGGCCAACTAAATAGGGAAAACCCGAAAATTTAAAATCCAATGAAATTTCATTAAGATATTTTGCATGACATTATTTTCATTTTACCTTTAGGAAAAATAAACAGTCCACAAATTTAAGAATCCATGAAATTGTTTTTGTCACAAAAGTTCATACCCACGAAATTTAGTGAATTCACAGTACACTTAATATTTTCTATACATAACTAATGATACCTTTGTCTTTGGGCTTGCAGATAAAATACAATCAGTGTCTAAGTCCATATCTATGACATCACAACTTTCTTTCACAAATTTGGTTTTGTTGGCATTTATATCTCTGCAGTGACTTTCACATTGATTAACCTTTGGTTTATTGCCATTTATATCTCTACTGTCACCAATAACTTCATCAAACTTGGCTACTTTGTCTGAATTGTTGTTCCTGCCGTAAAAATTTAGAAATTGTAAATGAACATTAATGCATTAAGATGTACACATAAATTGGTAATATTAGAATATATTATAAGGACATTTTAAGCTGAAAAAGAGTATGTTAAAAATAGCATCAAAGACCTAAAAACAAACCTCACACCAGATGTATAATTACTCTTATTTTTACTTCCAAATTCAATAATATTGGAATATTGGTCAAGACTATTGCTGGCAATTTATTTGTACTCTTCATAGTTAATATTTGTTATCAGTATTGAATTAACAAGGGCAGGAAATTTATTTTCAAGAAAAAAAACCCAAATCTTACATTAATTTTGAGGCGACAGGAGGAGGTTGTTCATTATCTAGTAAGAATGAGGCATCTTCATCAGAAGCATACAATTGAAGTATATCATCAAGCCCCTCCTGCAAACACATATCATTTTCCTGTTCATCTGCCGCTTCTTCACTGTCAGAATCATCTTCTGTTTTCATACTTATCTCATTATCATTGTTATCACCCTCAGCTTCTGCATGACTATCTAAATCAGATTCTTCAACATTTTCATTACTGTTATCTTCATCACTTTCTTCATAATGTTCTGTACTTTCATTCTGGTTAATTTTAGCACTTTCTTTATTGTTTTCTATAGCACTTTCTTTCTTGTTTTCTATAGCACTTTCTATATTGTTTTCTATAGCACTTTCTGCATTGTTTTCTATAGCACTTTCTGCAATGTTTTCTATAGCACTTTCTGCATTGTTTTCTATAGCACTTTCTGCATTGTTTTCTATAGCATATTCTGCATTGTTTTCTATAGCACATTCTGCATTGTTTTCTAAAGCACTTTCTGCGTTGTTTTCTATAGCACTTTCTGCATTATATTCTTTAACATTTTTGTAATTTTGTTATTTAAAGCATGTCTCTAAAATTTGTTATTTCATGGCCTATTTATATTGTTTTTTTTTAGTTTATGTTCTACATAAGATCTTGTTATTAACTTTTTTGTTATCATTTGTCAAGAGCTTCCCGTACCTTTTTTATTTAAATCATCATTCTTCACAACACTAACATGGTTCAAATGTTATAAGTAAAGCTTCAAAATTCAAGTATTCTTGGGTTTTTTCTACTATTTTCACCAACTAAATCCGCAAGGGAATTCTCATTTTTTCACTTACTGATTCAACACTTATTCCACAATCTTCATTCACCACAGTATAATTCTCTTTTAATTTACCTTCAGGCATAGCTTTCCTAAAAGTTGTTTTTTCTAAGTTACTGAGATCAATTTGACTGCAATCTGCTGATATGATCATCATTGATGATAGCTGTGTATCTGTAACGTGCAATAAAATTGGCAATTAAACCCACAAAAGAAACTTAAGTAAACAGAGCAAAAAAAAACAGGCTGACACCATAACCACTTATACTTCAATTTATTCTTTCTTTACATCTTGAAACATATACCAAGTTAATAACTAATACTTCAATTTATTCTTTCTTTACATCTTGAAACATGTACAAAGTTAATAACTTGGTATATGTTTCAAGATGTAAAGAAAGAATAAATTGAAGTATATGTGGTTATGGTATCAGCGTATCCTCTGGTCATATCTCTGCAGTGGACCCACCTATCTTTCCTGGATATCTAACCTGTAATTACCAATTCCTCTGCAAGTGACCAACTAATTATCTCACATGATTCCGAGTCAGTAGTGAGAGATAAATGACCCCAAGACTGTATTTCCGAAATCAAATGTCATGGAAAAAATTATGCATCGCCCAAAGATTGAACCAGCCACCCTTAGATTACTAACAAGATGATCTCCCTTTGATCTAAGTAAGCAGACTTCACAAACAGCTTTCTTTATCAGTGCTGTAGAATAATTTAATAGAAGAGGATATTATTAAACTAGGTGGTATTCATGAAATTTTTAATCCTTTGAGTGCAATAAGTGATGGTAATGTTGGGATGTCAGACCAACCTGTGCACCCATATAGTCTGGCCAGACTCTCTTGCCCCCCTCTCAAGTCTAATAGATATTTTCAAATGTAAACCATTATACTAGTTCAACCTAGGCACTCCATCACAAAATATAGCAAGAAATATTCAAATAAATTTCATATAGAAATTTATTTTAGTTCACTATCAAAATTTATTTTAGTTAATTTGTGTTGGAAGCTTGAAGCTGATAGACACATCTAGACCAACCAGAACTAAGCAACGAGCATAACTATGTTGACTCAGGAAACATGGGCTGGGGTTTGAACAAACACAGCAATCAATCCTTAGGTAACTAGTCCATCTTGTTAACCACTGTCATGCCTTAATGGAAATAAACCTTTTTAATAAATTTCATATCTGATGGGGAGAGAATTTACTATCTATACTAGTGAGTTGGTTATTGGTTTTTATAGAAATACATTACATCAAGGTCATACATCACTGTAAAATTTATCAATACTTACCATAACAATTGTCTTTATTTGCTTGTCCACATGTTGCCATTGACACTGGTTCTGGTATCTCAAGTCTTTTGATTTTCCTGCGTTTTGGCTTTGATTCAACAGCAGCAACATCACTTACAGCAGTCAATTGTTGTAACTGTGACACCTCTTGAGCCTTCACTTCATCCTGAATATCAGTTGATGAGCATTGACTGATATGTGAAATATCCAAAGCATGCCCTTGTGTATCATCAAACATTGACTTCAAATTGGTCAACTTCAAAGCTGGCGTACTCGAGAAATCATTTCTATTTTCTTCCCGATCTTTTTCAGATGTAGGTTTCAGGACTTCAGGGCTGTATATAGGTGATATATCACCATCCTCTGTAGGTACCGTCACCGACTCTTGTACAGGAAAAATGGTACTAGTACTGTCCTCCGAACTCTTTCGTTTACCAAGTCTACAAAACACAGACAGATGAGGTGACTCTGAAGGAGAATCAATGTCCGCTCCTTGTTCTGACAGTTCAGTAAATGCTGAATCATGGTCAGAGTATCTAGAATCTGTTCTGGTGGAAATTTCCGTTGTATTGGAACCTGAATTCCTTTCGTATATTGTAAAACCATTAAACGTTTGATTCATACTTGCAGGTATATGTGTCTTTTTACTGAAAGTTTCGGAAAAGGAAGGCAGAACTGATATTGAGTTATTTCCACTGTTCTCTTTCCTCCAAGAAGACGTAAAAGCTAAACTAGGATTAAAAGACTTCTGAAGTTCATTAACAATCATGTTGTCTTTTTTCATCACTATCATTTCTAATTCCTTTTTCAAATCTTTCAAATCTTCTCTATAATTTTCTCCTCGGAAATTGTTGGACATTTCAATCTTTGCACCAAAATTACAATTTGTTTTATGACATTTAATACCTCCTGCTTCAGGTATTGCAGCATCTAGATTTGTAAAAATACTTCTAGTGTCTACAGCAGAAATGTTTAATTGTTTTGAGCTTCTTGGAAATGTCAATGTTTCTTTATGAACATTTTCATCTATTTTTCTTTTACCATCAATTACATCACCTGCTAATTTTGAATTATAACCAGCACCTGTCTCTGTTGCAGTTGATTTTAATGGTGAGTCAGATTGACTAGAACTGGTTTCTGATAAACTTAATTCTTTCTTGTAAAACAGAATAGTACTATCTTTATTTGTATCTTTTTTTAAAGATTTGTCCTTCTGAGACACACTAAGTGGTGGCAGATTTCCTAAATCCAATTTAGTTGCTGAAAAATCAGGTAATTCGTCATCAAAACTCTTCCTCTGGTGTTTGTTGTAAATCATTTGTGCAGTTTTAGACTTCTGAAAATGTTGTACTGTAGACTTTTGAGAGGTGGATTTATGAGCATTTTTCCTTTGAAGTAACATCATCTTATTCTGAGCTTGTATTTTTTCAATAGTTTGATCCTCCTGTATAGTTCTATTTTTTGTAGTCGCCTTCTTTTTACCTCTTTCATTCCTTTTAACTGTATGATCATTCCATAGAGCTTTTTCAAATTCATTTGGTACATCTATATAAGCAGCTTTATTTTGTAACTGATTTATTTTACTTTGTTTAGTTTCTGCCTTCAGTTTAGTACCATTCTTTCTTCTGTCTTCAACACTCTCACCATTTTTATTTATTTTGCTCCTAAAACCTGGTCCGTCCTTATCATATTCAGTTTTTTTAAGCTCTTTTCCTTTTGTTCCAGATTCAGCGTCCTTACTCACTGATTTTTCTAATGTCTGATAGCTTTGGTTTTCACAGTAAATGTCAAAAGTCTTATTTACATTATAACTTTTCACCTTTTCTACCTTGTTTCCATTATTATTACATGTAACTTTTAGAGGAGTCACTTTCATTTCATTCCTTTTCACTATCCAACATGGCCTGGCTGGTGACCCAATAAAGTCACAATCTTCTGATTTTACAATAGATGTTTTCATTTTCTGTAAAACAAGCTTAACTTTTTTCTCCTTATCTGAAACTGTTTCACCCGGGCATTTCATTGTATCTATAGCATCACTATTTTGTGTTTGAATGTCATGGGATACATCTGAATGATCTCTATCTTTTGTATTTACAGAGCAACTCGCTCCATTAAAACTAAGTTGACAATCACTTTCAGATATTGTATCAGTATATTTCTCTTCATTTTCAAATCTCATACTTCCTGTTTCTTTCCCTTTGCAGTTATCCAATTCATTATCTTTTTTGGACTCTTTTTCTTTACAAGTCAGACACTTCATTAAATCATTCCTTGTAACACCATAAAACAGTGCTTTACATGCATCACACCTGTAAAATTTGTTGACTTTTTCTGCACCAAATTTCACTTTATCTATGCCATGTAATAAGGCTGTATTTGTACAATTCTGAATACTGCTATGTGAATTCAGACTATCCATTGATTCTGCCATTTGTTCCATTTTGAAATTTTTAGAACATGTATTTTCATTATCCATTTTTTCATCGAGTATACCCACTGCCTGTTCTTTCGCAACAGGTTTGATGATCCTCTCATGATTTATATCAAACATCTCAGATTGTGTCTCTTGCTTGAAAATACTTTTATGTTCCTTCTCATCATCACATCCTTGTTTGACAAAAGCTTCTCTCCCTTCTTCATCATTTCTAGTATGTGAAACAATCAAAGAGTTCTTCTCCAAGCTTATTAAACTGTCTAGTCCACATTGATCATCTAGTTTCACATTCTTAGTTTCAAAATCATTGTTTTCATTACCAACATTTCTAAGTTCTTTTTGACTTAATTCATTATCTATTGCAGTTCCATTAACAAAATTTACCTGCATTTCGGAACTCAAAATTTCAGGTGATAGTTCAGAGCCATCAGTTTTAAAGGCACTTTTCTTTATAACATCAAGATTATTAGTTCTATTTGTCGTTGATTCGCTTTCACAGCTTATGACAAATGCATCTCCTGAAGTCTGTGAACCAAGGCTTACAACACTTTCAGCAATTTCCATATCATCTTCGTTTACAGACGAAGCAGAATCATCACAACTTAAAGAATCTTTTAAACTTAAGTTTTCCAAATTTTCATACAGTGCATTTTCATCGAACATCAGCGCTGCATCATCCGGAGAGTTTAGAACAATGCCAACTTCCTCTGCAAATTCATTCAGAATGTCATCATAACAAGTATCCTGTAATCTGTGGCTGTCATCTTCTGAAGGTTCAAGCAAAAGAGAACCACCATCCAGCACACCATCATAAACATGTGACTCATCTTTTAAGACATCTACTGTCTTGTTTATATTAAATTCACCAAGCTGTTGTTTTGCTTGCAACTCTTGATGGACCAATTTATGCTCATTTATGTTGGTTACAGATGCATAGCTTTCATCACCAGGGATGCACTGGGTTGGCTTATCAATGTCGATTCTTTCCTTTGAAATGACACATAACTTCATTTTCTCAAGGTTTCCTTGAACCTCATGTTGTCGATCATCCTTTCTCTTTTCCTTGGTTCTGCTTGAAATGATACCTCTTCGAGACATATCATTTGCTTGACCTGAATTGACATTTTCTGAGTCAGTACCTTCTATTACTTCATTGTCATCATCATGATCAGTACAATCCGATGACGATATACATTCTTTACTTAATGCCTTGTGTTTCTTTCTTGTCTTTACTAACTTAATTTTGCTTTCATTTCCTCTAGACTCTATATAATCATCAATATTGTGTTCATTTTGGTTAGACATTTTTCTTTCCATACTTGATTTTTTATCTTCTACCTTTCTCCTAATTCTTCTACACCTACTTTTTGCCACATCATTTTCTTTCTTACATGAATTCTTGACTGTGTTTTCAAATATTTGAGGCGACTTTAAATAAGTTCTTGATTGCAATATATACTTTTCAGTTTTGCTCTGTAAAAAATCAGTCAGTTTATTAATCTTACACTCCTCTGATACATTGTCTTGAATAAAGTTTCCTTTTTGTTCTTCATCGGCACCATCAAAGTTTCTTTCACAATAGACTGCTGGGTATTTGGAAGACAGTGGTACGTTTTCTTCTTCTATAGAATGCTCTTTTACAGCAGTAACGCCCTTTTTCCTTTCAGTTTTATCAGTGGTTATATTTTCTGTGCTTCTCCCTCTTTTATTTTCAACAGTGTCCTTAAATTTAATTTCAATACCTGTATCATCCTCTCTATTTGTGTCCAATAACCGAGAATTGGCGGCAATATTTTCAGTGATTGATTTCATTCTCTCAAATTCTTTAGTCCAGCCTAATAAATCCTTTTTGATATTGTCTAAATTAAGAACACATTTTTGTGGTTTAGTGTTCTCATCTGACCTACTATGGACTTTTTGTAATGATTTAGAACTTTTATTTGGACCTTGTTCTAATAAACTGGGAACACTCGTTGCAGGTATTGTTGCACTTGTAAAGTTTCCAGCAGTGTCTTTTATTGTTTCAGGCAATTTACCCACTTCACTATTCAATTTCATGCTTGAGACCATACTTTGAACATGCTTCTGATTAGTTCTATTCTTTTTTACACTAAGCTCATATTTGTTTTCTTTCCGAAACTTCAATTTCAAGCTGCTTTCCTTTTGATCTTCGTTAACACCAAGCACATTAGTTGATTCGATTCCTGTCTGTTTTTTATGCTGATTTTGTAAAACGGACCAATTGGCTATGTTTGTAGCTTTCTCTCTCTTTTTTGTTTTACACTTATCATTTCCATGCAAACTATCATTCACCAAATTGAGGGTAAAATGGTTTAACATGATTTTCACATCTTTGAGCAAACATGATCTTGCAATGTCTATTTTATGATCACAATACATTCTTTTCCCATCTACCTCAAAAGTTAATTTCTCAGGTCTCGTGTCACTGACTGACGTATTTCTATTCATGTTGACAGAGGCAGACTTAACAGTTCCAACTTTTAATTTCAGTCCTATCTCATTTTTCTTCTGATTTTTTCTTTTATTTTTTATATTTGGCTTCCTTTGTTGGGTATCCATCTTCACTAGTTGTCCTTTACCTACTGTTTCATTACCATTTTCTTTCTCAAACAAAAAATCTGATATTTCAGAACCATTTATCTCAGGTGACCTACAATCAACACCTTCATCAACATCCATTTCAAACATCACTTTTTTCTTGACACCAGATTTCTTTTTCTTGGAATGTTTTAAAATCGAATGACTGTTCCTCTGAGTACATGATAGTGAAACTTTACGCTTTCTTTTCTTGTTAAGAAATGTATTTAATCCTTTAATGGTTTTGAAATGCGTCATATAATGATCATCCAACTTGCCATCTGAATAAAACATCTCCTGGCATAGTTCACACTGAATATTTCTAGCTTTCTTCTTTTGTACTCCAGCATAAGCATTACACATTACACTGTCTTCTTCACTGATCTCTGGATCACTTTCACACAATTGTAATTTAGACCTTTGAACAAAATCTTTTGTTTTCTGACATCTTTGAGTAGCTTTTAAATAATTTGGCTTTACTTTCTTGAATCGATTCCACAATTTCTCGTCTTGCCCAACTTTCAATTTTGCTTCACCTTCGCCATCAGAAGTTCTCTCTCTATACTCCCTTTCCAATCTATTTGATATTCCTACATCCTTAAACTTTCTAATATCTAAATTGCCATGGCCAGAAGTTTTATACTTTTTAATCAGTAAGTTTAACTTCTGTCTCCCACAGTCATCATTATCACTTTCACTGGCACTATAAACACAAACATAATCATTGTTTCTTATTTTTTTCTGCTCATCCACACCCGGTTCTTCACTTTCATTATCAGTTAAAAGTGTTTCCAATATACTTTTGTTAACTGATTCAGCTGCACCTTTTGCTTCTAATTTTTGTTCACTAAATGTACCTTTAGTTTCTAATTTTTGTTCATTAGCTGATTCAGATGATGTATTGCCTTTGACCCTCGTTAACTTCATTAGTATTCTCCTTCTGAACTGTTTTGACAGATTTTTTGGATATTCACCATTGTCACCAGTATTGTCACCTGTACAATCAGGCCAACTTCCTATTCCATTACCACCTTTGTCTGAATCGTATCCAGGATTTTGACTGTTTGGATCCCTCTTTGGTAAAGAATCTGTCTTTTCATTGTTGTTCTTTTTGGTTTTATACTTGGATGTCCACTGTTGGTATTTCAACTGCTTCTCCTTATTGTTTGAATCAGTCATCTTCTCCTGAAAAGTAACAAATCATACTTTACTGCAACAAACCATTGGCTCAAAGTCAGAAATCTATTTATAAACAAGGGCATTGCAAAGACAGGGCAATATACATCCAAATGTAAATTTGTTTGAAACTAGAAATGTGTCCATTGGATACGAGTGCCCCCACACTCCACAGATTTGTCAATCTTTTGTCTCTAGGTCAATTTTTTTTTCCGGCTACATGTGCCCAAGTTGAAAACTAAAAATGTTTTATTAAGTAAAGGGCAAATGCTACAAATACTGAATAAATCCACAAGAAAACCCCAAGGTGCATAAGTACACATGCTGACCAACATTCTTTCTTTCAGGCCTACAGGTCAAATACTTTTTGAGTTACGTGTGCAACTAGTGATGTTCCGATTGTAGCAAGTCGCTGATAATCAGTTACTGTTATGTAAAGCGACAATAATGGATTCACAAAAAATTGTTCCGCGACGTCGAAAATGTTTAAAGTATCAAAACGAATTAATTCTGACGATAATTTTCTTTTAGGAACACCTCGCCAATGGCAAAAAAATTATCTCAGAGACAATTTGGAGTTGAATAGGATCAATACGTGATGTAAACAATAGTAATATAATGTGATGTGAATGTTATTATTTGACATCCATTGGAAAATTAAATCTATTTCGTAAAATAATAACTAAATAGGGTTAAAACTGTGTTGAAAAGTGCTAAATGAAGTTCATATTACTGAATATAATCAAGTGCCTTGGGAAAAAATGTTTCTTCCCTATTTCTTTTTAACGCGACTTTAATCGGAAAGTAATCGATTATGTCCCATCCGATTGAACCGATGATCGATTGGGACAAATTTCATCCGATTTCCATCACTACGTGCAACACAAGTTGAATATTGTAAATTTTTAATAAGTCAAGGTCAATAACTCTAAAAATACTGAAATATCCACACAAAAATACCCAGGTGCACAACTACACATGCTGAGCAACATTCCTGTAAGGTTTCATGACTCTAGGTCAAATACTTTTTTAGTAACATGCAACACAAGTTGAAAATTGGAAAATTTTACTAATTCAAGGGCAATAACTCTAAAAACACTAAATATATCCACACAAAAAAACAGGTGCACAACTACACATGCTGATCAACATTCCAGTAAGGTTCCATGACTCTAGGTCAAATATTTTTTGAGTTACGTGCAACAGAAGTTGAAAATTGCAAATTTTTACTAAGTCAAGGGCAATAACTCTAAAAATACTGAAAATATCCACACAAAAATACCAAGGTGCACAACTACACATGCTGAGCAACATTCTTGTAAGGTGTCATGACAAGGTCAAATACTTTTTCAGTTACATGCAACAAAAGTTGAAAATTGGAAATTTTTTCTAAGTCAGGGGCAATAACTCTAAAAATACTAAAAATATCCACACGAAAATGCCCAGGTGCACAATAACACATGCTGAGCAACATTCCTGTAAGGTTTCATGACTCTAGGTCAATTACTTTTTGAGATACGTGCCACAGAAAAAGAGAACGGATGGACGGACGTTCTAACAGGAGAGTAATAATGTGGCTACTCTATTGTTCTTTTTAGCCACACAAAAGAAAATAGCCACATAAAAGCATTACGGAATGAATGACATCAAAGAGAAAGAACAGTCACCTATTGTCCCTCTAGCCACATAATTACTGTTCTGTGAGTGCGGATGGACGGACAGACGAACAAGGGTAAATCTAAATCCCCCCACCCCCCCCCCCCCAAAAAAAAAAAAATCGAAAAAACTTGTGTGAAAACTTTTATCTCACTTATCCTAAGTAAACTGTAATTATGAACTACAAGATCGAGACATTTTTTACCTGAAGTGAATGATTCATAAGACTTTTATAGAGGTCAACTAGGCATTGCTTTATGCCAAATATCTGAAGGATATTCAAGTTTTTTTCTATAATTACAGGATTTATTTTCATCAAGTATTTATAGAAAAAAACTTGAATTTTCTGTTTATTATATACATTTTATCATTTTAAAATGTGACAATTTGACAGACTTCCACTTAAATTTTGAGTACTGGCTGAATTTAGAAGAAAGTAGAATGGCAAAGACACCAGTGAAAATACGGAAAATATGTTTTACTGCAGTGTAAAAATAACTATTTACAGTGAAAATATGGAAAATGAAAACACACATTTTATTTCATCAATATTTCTCAATATTTCATTTATAAGTATATAATAAAGAGGCAAAGTATTTATCCACAAAAAGATAAGAATAAAGATGTGTTTTTCTTTACCTTGGTCTACATGAGGAAAGGGACTCAGAGGGCAGGGCCGATTCTGACCTGAGGGTCATGATTAATATAACTTTGTAGAACTTTCTACAAATTGATGCTACATGACAAATATCTAAGCTTTGGAAAATGTAGTTTCACACGTGTTTTCCTATAATAAAATGACCACGGGGCGGGCAAATTTTGACCCTAGGTGTATGATTTATATCAATTTTGCAGACACTCACCAGGTAATGTTACATTCCTGTGTTCTGCACTATGTCTCATAATAAGAAACATTTCTGCCAAGTGGCTTTAATTCATTTCTATTGGTTCAAAAGATACAGAGCAAACACAAAATTTTGAAAAAGAACATAATGACTAACTGCTACTTTACTTGGTAACCAACATTACTAAAAATGGCATTTTGTTTGGCATTTTGTTTAAGTGTATTTAATTATAAGGTTTTAAAGCTGTGAAAGACACTAGTTGATATGAATGCAACAAATGATAATTAAAGCTAATTGCTAATTGGTTACATCGAACATATAGATGCTTTTCACAAAGCAATTTTTACCTACCCTGGCCGTCACTTTGAGTGTCATTCCAAATATATTTTATGCTTAAGGAAAGTTACGATAAGATAAAAATCTGTAACAATTCCATCATCTTCATAAAAACTGATAACAAGAGCAATCAGTAATCACAGTCAAGGTGATATCATATTAAGCAGTTGCACTGGAGGGTGACTGACCACTTTGTTCACTCTATATGTTGCAGCTATTTTGTAGCATGTGTTAGCTACTGTGAAGCAGGAGACACAAAAATCATTAACAAGCCAAAAAAGTCTTTAATTGAAAGGCCATAACTCAGCCAAAAATCTTTCAACTGGAAAACCCATTAATTATGCAAAAGTACTTGAGGTATCAATCATTCCTGTAAACTTCCACTCAAATTGCATTTGTAGTATATAAATAAGTAGTCTTGATTAAAATAAATTATTTTAGAAATTAAAGGGTCATAACTGAGCAAACAAGATTGCATTTGAGAAAAATGCTATGCCACCGCATTAATACAACACTAAATAGTAGTGTTGGAACAGATTTTTTTTGTTTCTATACAATTTTGAAGATTGTCATAATGCATAGATCCCTGACCTATCTTATTCTTATTATCAGATTAGTGGTTAAATCTGTTGTTAACTCAATAAAAGATCAGAGTAGGAATATATCAATGCACTCGAGTCTAGTGAATTTGGTGGTGAAGGTCATATTTCACACAGCCTAAATTTCATGACTACATCAAAGAACAACACAGTAAGACACTTTGTCAAAATCTAGGTCAGCTGAAATCAAAGTTCACTTTACATCTTAATCTGTGCACATGGTTCAAATTTCATAGCTGTACATCAAAGGACAAGAAAGTAGGTCACATCATCAAAATCTAGGTCACCTGATATCAAAATTCAATTTTACAACTAAAACTGCGCACATGGTCAAAATTTCATTGCTGTACATCAAAGGACAAGAAAGTAGGTCACTGTCCCCTTGGGCAAGGCAAAATTTTGGACCCAAGGGTTTCATTCAAAACAATCTTGATACAGGTCCACCGAACAACATTTCAAGTCAAATATCTAAGCTGTAGCTTTCTCCCATTCAGAAAACATTTGTTTTATTTTCTGTTATTACTATGTGTACATAATGAGATTCACTGCCCCCGGGCAGGGCCAATTTTGACACCAGGGGAATAATTTGGACAACTTTGGAAGAGGACCTAAAGATGATATTATATAGCAAACATCAAAGCTCTATGCCTTGTACCTTCAGATAAAAATATATTTTTTTACTATATGTACATAATGAAAATCAATGACCCCCTGGGCGGAACCAATTTTGACCTCAGGGCTATAATTTGAACAATCTCGGTAAAGGTTCACTTCGCAAAGTCTCATGCCATATATTTAACCTCTAGCCTTTGTCAATTCAGAGAAGAAGATTTTTCAATTCAGAGAAGAAGATTTTTCAAGTTTTTACTTTATACATATAAGGAAAACTATCTCCTCTGGGGCAGGGCAATTTTAACACTAGGGGCATAATTAAAACAACTTTAGTAGAGGACCCATAGATGATATTATATACCAAATATCAAAGCTCTAAGCCATGTACCTTCAGACAAGAAGATTTTTTAATTTTTTACTATATGTACATAGTAAAAATCAATGACCCCTGGGGGTGGGGCCAATTTTGACCCCAGGGCTATAATTTGTACAATCTTGCTAGAGGTTCACTACATAATGTTTCATGCAAAATATCTTAACTCTAGTCTTTGTAAATTTAAAGAAGATGATTTTTTAAGTTTTTACTATATACATATATGGAAAACCTATGGCCCCCTGGGCGGGGCTAATTTTGACACTAGAGGCAAAATTTGAACAACTTTGGTAGAGTTCCTATAGATGATATCATTTAAAAAATATTAAAGCTCTAATAAAGACAATAAGATTTTTTACTATAAGTATATATTGAAGATACATATAAGGAAAACTAATGACCCCCCAGCGGGGCCAATTTTGACCCAAGGGCTATAATTTGAATAATCTGGGTAGAGGTCTACCAGACAATGCTTTATGCAAAATATCTAAGCTCTAGGCCTTTTGGGTCTTTGCAAGAAGGTATTATAATTTTTTACTATATGTACATATAGTGAAAATCAATGACCCCCGGGGAGGGGCCGATTTT